GTGACCTTGAATAGGAAGTTTAGACCATTTTGAAGTCTTCTGATCCAGAGTGGTCGAAGACCGTATTTATGATATAGTTCTAAGTATGAACCCTGGATGCCATCACTTCTAGACAAGGATCTAGTAAACCGTCTCTGAATGCAAATATCGGAGATAATAACTGCGAATTGGTAGCCAAGTCGAAATAGTCCCAAATGAGGCACAGGATAATCTCGTCGTGCTCAGTGGTGCTGAATCTCTTCCTTTTAGATAGATAGATAGATTATTTTTATTAAAGACCCGTCGGGGTGCCATCAAAGCAAGTTAAAATAAATTTGCATGCGAGTTTTTGACGAGGTAGGCCGAATCTTTACAAACTGCAATTCATAGTTTCTGAATTAGAAGTCCATTGAAAAACAAGATGATTGGGGGGTGAAAAAAAACTCCTCACAAAAAGTTAAAGATGATTGGATTGATTTTACAGGAGAAAAAAACCCCTCCATAAAAATAATAACAGAAAAAAACTTGCAGGACTGGCCTGTAGGTGGCGGTATATAACGAAATGTTGTCGGTCATCGTCAGGGTAGCAATAAATGTCAGCCTTGATGGGTACGAATGTGGGTCAGACAGGACTGGCTTGCATATGGCATTGTATACGGGATTCACAATTGAGATCGTCTGGGCCTGATTGGTACGCCGCGTCAAAGAGGCCATACGAGAGGAACCGAGATGCGATCGGCCACAGAACGCTTCGAGCTCAGCCGAGCAGTGAGGAAGGGAGGTACGACCGAACTACTAGAAGACAGTGAATACTGAGGGTTCCGCCGTGAGCGTCGACAGATCGCATGAGGTCGGAATGCGGGAGATGACATCAAAAACCGCGAAAATTGTCGCTATGGGGGGAGTGATAGCAGTGGATTTAGAAACCAATTCAAAACAGGGGTTTCTAATGATATAATTAAGAGTTACCACTTAATCAACCATTAAATCCCACGAGGACCCTTCTCGAAGTCAAGAATCTGAGTATCCTATCTGAAAGTGATCTAAAGAAAGGGACCGGATCGGACTCGGTAGCAAGGTGTTTTGCAAAGAAAGCACTAAACAACTCCGCCTTGTCAGTGTCATCGGTGAGGAAGACTTTGTTATCATTTAGCATGGGTGGAAGTTCATGACCACGCTTAGAGGAGGACCGATGACGGAAGATGTTAGCGACAGATTTGCCAGGGTTCGAACCACTGAGAGCAATTGATTCTCTTTGCCTGTCGCGCGCTTGGCGCATCCTTGAGGCCATCTCAAAAATCTCTGTGATTCTAAGATGAACAGATAAGGAACTAGTGGATGGGTCACGCAGTTGTCGCCTCAACTTTTTTAGTCTGTTCTGAAGAAAATGAGGAACAAGAGAATCTGAAGAATTAGGCTTGAGATATCTACGCGGCACAAACTCTAGAATGTCCTTGGAAACCTTGGACATGACATCACGAAGAATGGTTACATCGCTTCAAGTGAGGAAGCCATACCAATCCAAGGATCTCATATAGTTATTTATTAAGTCGCTATCTACGCAGCCGTAGTTCATGAAAGTCTGAACGGCGCTTGTCTTTTTTGAAAAGGCAAGCGGTATGCAACAATGAATTAATACGTGGTCACTGTCAAAGAGGTCCTTTTTTAAAGCAACAGAAAGAGGAGCAATGTCATTTGTAAAGATTAGATCTAAAATGTGATTATCTCTTGTTGGAGAGCGCACCAGTTGGGACCAATTAGAAAAATTGACAATATCTTGAAAGGGCTGGAATCTGGGTGGGCAGCTATTGGAAACCCAGTCAATTTCAGGAAGGTTAAAATCCCCAGTGATTATTTTAATATCGAAAGCAGCTTCCGAAATTAATAGATCCTTTGTTATTCAAATGATGGGATTGTACCTGGTTACCCGCTGAAGGCGCAGCCGCTGAATGACGGGAGTGAATGGGGATAAACGATGAAGCTAACCTCTGTGATGTCTACCGATGGTCCATTACCCCTCAATTACTTGAAAACAAATAATGAAAAGCAGTTTATTTGATCGATAATCTATACAGAGTAATCTATATAGGGAACTTACCCACGAACTTTGCAATACATAGAGTAGCAGCATTATCAATCAGTTAAGTCATAAACAAGGGACGAACTAGCCATCTGCTCGGCCGCCTCAATTTTTTCCCGCCCTTGTGAGGGTCACACTCGTCAACAAGTTTTATTGTCTACTCACTTCCCAAGCACTCAAATTGCGTAAAACTTCAAAGGAGTTTTTTAAGCGTTTGATTTATATATTCTATCTACTCCGCTGAAAGCGTTCTCTTATGTTGATGACAGATTAAACTGCTTATTGCTGAGGGACTGAATGACCTTGGTATTCTAACGACCTTATCAGTTAGCCCATTGCCACAATATTCAAAGGCAGCCTAATGCTCGATACTGGTGTTATTCTCACTGAGGCGAGGGCATTTGCAAATCAATAGGAAGCCTTTCGGTCTCACTTGGAGTAAACCGTGCAGATTCAGTGTCAGTGACTCAAGAAAGATTGTTAACTACTTAAACGGGTGCAGGTGAGCGTTACAAAGACTTTGGATAATCCTGGCAATTTACCTTACGAAGTCAGACCGGTGGAATTTAATTTGTTTCCTCTAAGTAACAGGGGAATGTGCAGTGGCCTCATCCCAACTTCCTGCACTGTTAGAGGCCGTGAATGTGCCCTAGGGTCTTCTGACTACTTCGAATTATGTGGAACGGGTCAACCGCGTGGTCATCCCTTTAAACGGAAAAGGGGGTTAGTTAATTTAGACGTCCTCCTCGTTTGGTTCGTAATCATACTGATGTCTTGTGAGGTTGCTTGTTCATGAGGCTTGACCAAGGGTCTCTCCGGTCAACAAATAAAAGTTGTGATCCCTTGTATTGTGTAGAGAATTTGCAATTACTCTTTACTCCGACATAATATACCTCAGCTTAATTAGAAGTGCACGGTACACATTTCCCCGATATCGGTGTCGTTAATTTCCCTCAACACCCATCTTTATCCTTGACGCGACCGTATCCTCCTAAAAGTCCTTTTGACTCACACTTTTCCCATATTTCATTGGCAGATGCGAAATTCGGTGCACCAGAAATTTTTTATAAAGGAACACCGAAATTCATTTCGCCGCTTAAAAAATTAGACGAGCATTCGGTTCGTCATGTCTTACAATATTTTTAAAGTGTCCTTTGCTTTGGGATTTTTATTTATTTTCGAAGTAACGTATTGTGGTAGGTAATCAAAGCGAATGTTCATTATCCGACAGTAAACCCAGAATTTAGGAGAGCCTGGCCAGTTTTTTAATGAGAGCTGTATGTAGTGTCCCAGTCATTCTCGTGCGGTTAACTTTACACGACTAGAAACGAAAGTCCAAGTTCAATGCGCATGTATAAATGAAGAAGATGACTGGTCGAGCACCAGAACAGTCTGTCTATTGTTCTAAGCTTTCGAACTCACGCAGAAGTCCACCGTCAGAGGTAGTGACAACAACAGACCAGGTGAAAATTATAGAGCGTTGTAGCCATTCGTCGATTGACGACGCAAGGCTGGATATATTTGGGCTGGATTCCGTTCGTCGACGCCACATCAATAAATCGATTGACGAGATTCGCAATCGAGGTTTAAGCGTCGATCAATTCTAGATCTGTTTTCCAATGTGGACCATTACCTTGGCGGCTGCAATGTCTAACCCACCACCGAATTTGTGGTTGTT